AAGGGCCCATTGCTAGGATCCAGGAAACAGGTAGGGGCCCACATGGGGGGCTGGGACCTGAGCAGCAAAGCAACCCTGCCCGCCCCCCAAAAAACGATGAGAGTTCGATGAACGTACAAAACTGATGGCAACATTCACTTCGAGTGCAGTTACGGTTGATACGTGCAGGAGGCTGCTGATATCTGCCTAAACCAGGCCTGAGCTACAGAACATGTCTCATACTAGGTTCAAACCCTCCGAACCCCTTAGGGTCCAGGGACCCAAATAATAGGGCTTCAGGGTCTGAAGGGCCCAAATACCATTCATATCATGGTATTTGAAACCTAAAACCCTATTATGCGGGTCCTTTAACGCCTAGAGAACTAAAGGCAAGGCACAGTGCCAGCTGATAGCAAGCAGAAGAGGATGGGCGTAAGCACCGGGAAGGCCGGTTGAAAAAGGAGCTTGAGGTGCCTTGGTTTAGGGTTTAGGGTTTAGGGCTTTAGGGGTTTAGGGTTTAGGGGTTTAGGGTTTAGGGTTTAGAATATGGTACCTTAGGTGGAGGAGCTTGAGGTGCCTTGCATGAAGTTTTTTCTGGTATTGCTGCTTCCTTAAGGGTCCAGGTACCCAATAATTTGGTAATTGGGTATTGGGTACTAGGAGGTGCCTTGCATGGAGTTTTTTTCTGGTATTGCTTAGGTGGACCCCCCACCCAGTAATAGTGACTATAGGGGATAATAGGGATTCTATTAGGGTCCTCTTTTTTTCTATTTTACCACTATTACAGGGTTGGGGGGTTTTTGCTGAGGTATTGCTGCTGCTTGTGCTCCTACGACATTCGCCATGATGACTGTCGTTACAAATCCTATGATGTCTACTTCCAACACCAAAACCTGAGTTGTTGGCTCACATAGCAGGAGGTGTGCGCGTAGTTTGGACCCATTTGCAACACCATTGTGCTGCAAAACACCGTGCCCAACACATTTCAATCTTGCGCTGCCATATATGACTGAGGTACAGCGTATTGGGCTCAGCCACAAGGTATGACCTTCAAACCGCAATCTGATCAACCAGCTCAACCATGTAATTTGCTGGTTTTTTAGTAGGGAATAGAATTCCTATATATATATATATACACATCACTTACATATTCTATTCCCTGATTCCCTACTAACCCTAAACCCGAAATAGTAGTTTCCATTTTCCTTTCCATTGTCTCCAGATTGTCCAAATAGTCACCATGTGATACCAAATATAACCTGAAACCTACTGCAAGCCTGAACATAGTCCCTAGACAAAATGCTCATATAAGATATTCCCTTTTTCACTACCAAAAACCGATACTGCCTTCAGCCCTACAAGCCCTGAGGATAACCTGAAACCTACTGCAAGCCTAAACTTCCCATAACAAGCACGTTGCTGACGCCAAGTCATCAAGTTCAGGACCATGAGCCCCAGAGACCCGGTAACCGCCATGGCAGCACAAAGACCAGTGAAAGCCTCCGAGGATGGATGGGATCACGTGAGCTGTACTAAACTCCTAGTATTCCCCTTAATAGCCCCTATAATACTCCCCGATGTAATCCCCTATATAACCCCCTTTAAGGAGTTTCGGCTATAGATCATGTGGGGCCAGGGGGGTGTTGTCCAAAGAGCTGTGGACCCAAAAAGGGGCCATCATTTGCACGCCCTTCCATATACACATATATATATACATGTGTCGTATATATACATATGTTATATAGTATATAGTATCTACTTTATGTGTATATATATTTATACACAGCGTACTCAGGCCCCAACTGCAGCTGAGAGGTCTTCATTTCGGCCCGTATGACTGCAAAAACACCACCAAAGTCAGTCATACACAACCAGCATCTCAACCCTTCAAACTACTGGGTTGCTGTTAAGGAACTTAAATCAAATTACCATAATGGGTTTAGGGTTTAGGGTCAAAGCCTGAATCGAACCCTTGCAGCTGCAGGCCTCATTCGCAATTCTATGATTCATCCGGCTAAGGTTCATAGGTTTTAGGCCTGGATGCGTGACTGCCGCGCCGCGGTGTGCTGATCATGGTCCTGCAATTAGGTTGAAGGAGCAGCGGGATTGGAGCGAGCCCGGGTTTGCCATGACATGTGTGTGTGGACTTCTTTGAAATGGAAAACAGGTGCTAACATATACAGAAAATGTATTATACCCTGAAAGGTCTTCCACAGCGGCACACTAGCATAAGCAGAAGTAAGCACTTCGTTTCAGGACAGGGCAGGCCTAAAGCATGTTGGGCTGCTGACACGCGACGAAAAACTGAAAGGTAAACAGCACGACAAGCATGGGGATGAGGACCCTGAGGCACCCAATCCTCGCAGCATGGATACTTTCGACACGCTACGAAGATACGAGGCTCCAAAAACGTCGGCACTCACCAGGGTGACGACCCGACCCCTCCAAACACTCCGTGAACGCTTGCGGAGCTTCTGGGGCGGTTTGCGGATGCTTTGCGGACGTGACCGGAGGGGATGTGGTCAACTTAGTCGCCAAGCCTCCGAAAACCTGCTGCACAGCATTTCTTCAGACAAAGAATCGGGCTCTGCAAAACAATTGGGTCGCCATGGGAACAGCAAATTCCCAAAAAAATGCCGCATGTCCTGGCTTGGGGTCCTGTCCAGGTCGCTAACCCAACCCGAACTGTACCGTAGCAGTCAGCCAGAACCGCGCCTTTCAACGACCTGACATGATACAGTCATTTCAGGCCCATAGCAATCTCATCCAAGCCTGTGCACATGAAGACCTCCAACCCCAAATAACACCCCCCGCCACGATATAGGAACTTACCCCAACATTGTGCCATTTTATGCTAAGGGAAGAACCCCCAAACCCCGTACAAGCCCGAAACCTTGGGGGCAGAATGCTTCTTCATCAGGACACAGGATATTACGCTATTTGAGTAGCCTTTTGGGGGCGTTGAAGCGAAAACAGAAATCTCTTCCTAACAAGGCTCCAAGGAGGGTATAATCGTAGCGTAGCGCCCCAAAAAACGACTCTTTGGAGGAACTCCTCAAAAACGCTTCCCCAAGTTCTAAATCCCTAAAACCTACAATCCAAAAAAAGGCCTCTGGGAACGCCAGCCAGGAGGGCACTCCACTGCGCGGCTGAAGCTCGATGCCATGCTCCATTTTCTGGTTTTTTAGGACTCAGGACCTAGGGGGTTTGGGGTTTAGGGATTAATGAGCTCTAAGCTTCAGGCTTTCTGGCCTAGACAAAGGCTTCCGGGCGCTTACAGGGTTGAACTCTTACCATCCGGCTGGAATCCCTGTAGGGCTACCCCAAGGTTCAGTACCCAGAGATTAATGTAGCACATGCTCCTGAAATTAATACACATACCTTAGCCAATCTCACGACATGTAGTTACCGCTTCCGCTTGACTATAAGGTTCAGCCATCTATATGCTGGGTTCTAAGCCGAGATGTAGCTCAGATGCATACATGTCCACACACAGACACATATATAGACATACGTGCATAAAGGTTTACCGGTATAACGGTATAACGCATATGACGACCACCTACAACGCACAACGCCAGGCCCTACACCCTAAACCCTAAACAGGTAACCTACTTCTTAAAAAGGGGCATGGTAGTAAGAGTCATGAGTCTTTGTAAAGCTCGACTACTTACATCTTTGCATGCTCTACACTTCCTGCATGCCAAGTCCTAAACTCTCGCAAAGAACAGAGTTTGAGACTAAATTGCTGAAGATTTCCGGTTTTACACTTGAGCGCCTGATTCTGAATGCTTTGTAGATGAGTTCCCGAAACGACATCCCAAAACTGCGCAGATTGAGGCCGATACTAAAGGCTCATGATTCTTGCCTCCGGTCCTTTGGTACAAATTGTACAACTCCTCGCATGGTTGCCGCTATATGAGCTATAGTCTAAACTGCTAGTATCCCCTCTAATAACCTGTAACGAAGTTAGACTATAGCTCATATGGCATCACGGCCGCTTCAGCCTGGCAAAGTGAAGACGACTTTTTGGTAAGATGACCTATGGTTTAGAGTTTCGGGTTTAGGGGAGGGCTTGCTGAAAATATGACCCATGCGAACCAATCCCAGTCTTTACTAGCTCGCCTGTTGGAATTCAGAAATGCCTTCTGGACCTCGAATCTCTACGATGAAGCAGGCACCCCCTGTACCACACTGTATGCTTCAACGATCATCTTTCGTGCCTTGTGGGGCTCTGCTCTTTACCGACTGTTGTTGTTCAGCTCACTGATTGTTTCCATGGGACAGCTTCGGCGATCCACCCAAAGGAAATTCAATGGTAAGGGTCGATTCAGGGCTGAGTATCTCGGACAGGCAGACCCAGTTTAGGAGTGTTTGGCAACACGTTGGGGATGTCGGTACTGAGTGGGCCAGTGGGTTGCATCTTTGGACAACACTAAAAAACGAACATACGTCCGATGCCAACCAAGCCTTTGCAAGTGCATAGGGTAGATTTTAGGTGGACCCCCACCCTATAATAGTGGTATAATGGGAATATAAGAGGACCCTAATATACTCCCCATTATCCCTCATGGTCACTATTGCTCGCTGGGGGGTCCTAAACCCTTGGCCCGAAATAGTAGCTTCCATTTTCTGTTCAACATCTCTATATGACCTTATATATCCCGGGTATATATCCACCTACGGTAGATTCGTAGAAGGGGATAATGAAGGAATTCAGGGCATTCGTAGAGGGTCTGTCCCATCTGGGAGCCCCTGAGAGTCTATACTCCCCCTTAAGTAGATAGAATATGGATTTGTACGGGGATGTTATTGCAATAGATGCAGGCCTATATTCTATCTGCTTAAGGGGGACTATACTTGAGTATATGCCCACCTTCCTCACGGACATGCCACATGCCTTGCAGGCGGGCCCTGTCAAATCACATTTAACGCGCAAGCTGGCCTGAAGAGTGTGGGAGCAAACCTTTTCCACCGCTAAGCTTCGCCCAGCTTCACCTATCTTTTCCAGATCATCTTCACTAGCTCTGGGCTCTTGGCATCGACATCGAGCCGCACCACACCGCAGAAGTGTTGCGCTCACAGCAGTCACACTGTGCAGGACCCCTCCTTTCAGGGGGCGCATAAGCCAGCATGCTGTCATTGGAGCGACTGGAACACACGGCTGAGAGCAAGAATACGATTGCCTAGTATATAGGCCGATTATACTGGGGTTATATTGCGAAAGTGGAAAATAAAATGGAAACTAATACTACTATAGTATATTGGGGATTATATTGCAATGCTGGCAGTAACACTTACAGCGAGGACTCTTGGAGAAGGATCGTTCTGAGGATGGTAAGTATGCCAGGATGGGGCTACTTAAGCTGCTTTTGCAGGGTTACAACTTATGGCTAGAACCAAGAAGCAAACACCACGACCAAATGAATGTACTGTTGATAGCAAGTCCAGCATGACGTTAGCCCAGTCCAACACTAGAATTCCCAAGGGTGACCTATAATCCCAACATACTATAGTAGTTTCCATTTTCTTTTCCATCATCCCTATATAACCCCAATATACTCGAATAGTTTCCACTTTCTTTTCCGTTATCCTATATAACCCCGAAACGCTAAACCCTAAAACCCTAAACCCAATAGTGCAGTTTTCATTTTCAATCTTCACTGCGGTAGAGTCTCAACGCCAACCCCTGCGGGATGGTCAAGTGTACCAGTGTACCTACTGCTGTGGCCAGTCGGCTTGCTCTTAAAGAGGGGTTACATTGGGTTTAGGGTTTGGGGTTTACATAGGGATGATGGAAAAGAAATGGAAACTACTATAGCGCTGTGAAGCAGGGGCCCTGAGAAGGCTTCTGGAAGTCCTACAGACAAAACAAACAAACACGCAGTTTTACTGCTGCTGAAATTCCAACCCTAAACCCTAAATATATTGAACATGTTATTACCAGCTTTCGCTTCAGAGCCTGAACCCTACGTAGACCGCGAAACTGGGAGATGTGGGTCTTGCAGGCTTGGGGTTACATTTAACCCCATTACCTACAGCTTTATAGTAATTACCCTCTACTTAATAAGTATAACCCATACAGCTATCGGTACTTGGGGTTGCAGGTATGAGCCCCTGGGAAGGTGTGCGATCTTTCCATGGCCCCTCGCAGAAGCTAACATGGATTCATCTGAGGAACCCATTGAGATACGAAGTCGTGCTTCCCACCCGTGCCACCTTAGCCCTGAACACCAAAGCTTTGTGTTTAGAATCCTAACCCTAAAGCCTAAACCCTAAACCCTAAAGCCTAAACCGTTCAGGGACCAAAAGCTGGCATTTGATTCCGCCCCAGGTTGTTTATGGGGAGCGAGAAGCTCCAGGGGACTGCTTTGTATAAACACAACAATTTGAGCTATACGCAGTCTAAACCCCATCTGAATAACCCTAGGGTTTAGGGTTCAGGGTCTAGACTCCTAGTATCCCCCTTAATAACCCCTATAGTACTCCCCTAGACAATAGCTCATTTGGTGTAAGGTCAGGTGAGGTTGTTACATCTTGCCTAGCCTGAGTCCTAAACCTCCAAACTCCAATGATGAAATTCCCAAATGATTTTGCCGAGTTGTAGCCCCAAAGTCCTCAAAGTTATTCATAAATAGGCCCCCCAGACAGAAGCAAAGTTGATGGATTTTTCCCAATTTGCCACCCCTACACCCGACCTCCTGAATTCCAACCCCTAAGTCTGAAAACTTGAATCCTGAACCCTAGACCCTGAACCCTATCCTGAAAACTACAAGCTGAGGGTCCTTGGAGGCTCCCGCAGAGGGTTCCTCAGCTTGACTTCGTTTAGGGTTTTGTGGGATGATGGAGAATCAAGTCGGAAAGGAAATGGAAAATCAAATGGAAGCTGGGGTTATATGAGGGATTATGAAATGTAGAGGCCGATTCACCAATGTCCTTGTGAGGTATCCTACACTGTAATTGTGCAGACAGTCTGGGACCATAACAGTTGTAATTATCTAGCTCCCTATCGCATTGTACACTTCAGCTTTAAGGGTCCAGGAGTCCGAATGTTTAGGTTGCAGGTACATACCTAAAGACCCAGTAGTTTGGCACTTGGACACTATAGGTTGAGGTAGGATTTAGGGTTTATAGGGCTTGCCCGATCGAGGTTTTATCTAGGTATCTTGGCGCCTACGTACCTGCTACATAGGCACCTGGACCTTCAGGGGTCCATTGCTAGATCGCCGACATCCGCATTGCTTTCAGCTGGGTTCTCCTAAGGGGTTCTCAAAATAAACTTGGGTGCGCTAGTATAGTACGGGGCTCCCTCTTCAAGATGCTTCTGGGAAAACCTCGAGATCCCTACTCTGCGCCTATGCGCGTCTGCACAGGTGAGTTTTCGGCAATTATTTCTGGCTGCATCCATCAAGAACATAAAGGAAACTCGTAGCCAGCGTCAAGTACACACAACGCCTGACCACTTGGTTCAAAGGAACCCTGCGAACAAAACCGAGCGAAAGCATGATCGCGGTCAATAATGCCGGCTACTACTGCTCTGAGCTGGTTGTTGCTGTTCTGGTCTTATTGGAGTACTGCCATGACAGCTTTACTGAATCGCAAGTGCCACTTGCTACCACGCATCCTCCTCACTGGGTCTGCACATGATCGGACCACAGCCAGCTTGATGATTCTTATGCATTTGCTGGAGGACTCCGACCGCAACTACAACCACCTTCACAACAAGCACTTCCACCATGTCTACAACCTCTACAAGCACCGGCATAATTACGGACTCCTGTCGGCTTTATGCATCCACTTCAGTAGGACACTCAGGGTGGACGCATAGACTCGGGAAGCCGCTCGGCTTCCCTTCCCGAGGCAACATCGACAACGTTGACAAATGCCGAAGACGAGGACAGCTCTCAGACTCGCACATGATGTTTGTGGTGTAGTGTAACTAGCCTGGAATCAGGAGCTTGCTTCTGAATCTGCCTTCTGCGGTCAAGGGCTCCTAGTTTGTGAGTATTGTTCATGCAGAACTGCCCACCCCTTTCAACTTCCCAACTCCACGCACCATATGTTATCCCAAATTACTGTTGCAAAGAACGTCCTTTAAACATCTCCATGAACCAATGGAAAAAGACCCTCGGAGCAGCCTACTAGGACGATTCTCAATATGCATTCGCTGACGAGAAGGGAGGCACATAGCTCTGGCAATCAAGACGAGCCATACGACCGCTTTAGTCACCCCATCCACAGCGACCAAGGGACCCGGTTGTGCTCATATTGCTTCGTTTGTTCGGAGCGGATCATGCTGGATGCTTGTCTGTTTCATAAACATCATATGAAACAGCACACTTCAAGACTAGTACCCCCTCGACTAAACCTAAACCTTGAACCCTTCCTTGTGAGGGATAGGCTTTAGAATTAATGTGCAGCAGTTGCTGCGTAATCTGATCATCTGCTGCGCTTTGATAGCACGATTTTGGGCCGAATCCGTAGTAACCCTAGGGATGTAGCATTCTGAACCCCAGAAGCCCAGAGTGCCAAAGCCTCAACATCCGCAAGCCATGAGAGCTAAACCACCCGGAATGGTCCAAACAACCAAACAAAGCCCCAGCCGAATCCCTTCGACTCCCCATCCTACTGCGCTGGTGGGGTGGAAGTGGAGAACATGGGAGGGGATTAGGGTTTAGGGCTTAATTGAGGTTGAGTTTGTCTCAAGAGGTTTCGGCTACCCTGGGATGATAGTTCAGCCTTGCCCCACTTTGTAATTCTTGTGTTTATTGTACATGTGAGTACGGGGTGTGGCCAGCATCCAACCTAACTGAACCCTGGCTCACAAACCCTAAACCCTGAATCCCAAACCCCTAAACCCTAAATCCCACACCCTAAACCCTAAACCCTAAACCTAAATCCCTGAACCCTACGTCCCGAACCCTAAACCCGAATCCCGAAACCCTAAACTGTCAAGGCTGGACCCTGAACCCTTCCATGAAGCTTGGTTCGAGCTTCCCTTTGCAGCCCAGCTGTTCCAGCCCCGTCCTTTCTTTAAAGATGGGTATTGGGATTATATAGGGTTCTGTAGTGTTATGTAGGGGTTATATAGGGTTTCTAGGATGTAGGGCTCGGGGGTCTTGGGTTTAGGGTCAGGGTTTAGGGTTTTAGGCGACCTTCATCATGGTAATTTTCGCGTCATTCTTGAGTGCGTACTTGTTGTCTGAAGCAACCCTAAGCCCTAAACCCTAAACCCAAGGGAGAGTGGGGATCTGGGGGCAGGTCGGCATGGCAAGGCTCGAGCGGGCTTGCGAGAATACTGCGCTGAAGGATTGACCAGGTAATGGAGTAGTTATTCTGGCTTGGGCACAAAAACGATGCTGTGTAGATCTTTCTAGAAACATCCAGTGTGGTTTGCGCGCCTGTTCGGATCATCAAGGACTTGTACATCAGCATGTCAATGGTGGCGTGATTCTGCTGATACAAGCAGCTGTACCACCAAAGGTTCCCTCCTCCCTAGGAATCTAAAGAAGGAATCCAGGATCAAATATCAATAATGACTTCGTGCTGTTTAATTTGAATAAGGCTGGGGAGGGGGAGTTTAGTCCAAAGTCCAAGACGGATATGCCGGGCTTTTAGTACTAAACATTCTTCTCAAGTTCTCGGAACTGGTGCAACTATCGGTGAAGAAGACACTTAAACGACAACGAAATTTGCCAAAAACTTCCACACCGCGCTTTTTGATTCTGGAGAAGACATGTACGTAATGTGGCTTCCCAAGCCAACATGACCTGGCCTCTTAGAACCAGACTAGCATACCTTCTTCATGGTGTGAACGCATTTTGAAATTGGAAAACATAAGCACTCCAGAATAAAGATTTCACATGTTTACGTAACGTCAAAAAGTACAGATGAAGACTCCAGAAAGGCCCGAAGTTCAATCCATCGGCCCTTGATGCCGCGATGCTCACGCACTTTGTATACCTTGAAATCCGCATGCTCCTGCAGATCCTCACAACACAAGCTACATATTATGGATCTATGGTTCCAACCCTTTGTGGCCTGCTGATAAGTTTACCAGAGTACGTATGTGTGTGTATATATATATATGTATATATGCAGGCAGTGCTATCTGAACTTAAGCTCCTACACAGCACAGCAACCCCGAATCTTACCAAAACCAAAAACGCCCACATTTCCCTGTGTTTTCATACTGTCTGTATGCCTCTATATATCCCTAGAACACATTTATGGGGTTTCCAGGGGCTGTCAGGAGGGACCCATGGAAGAAAGCCTAATCCCCTACAGTTATAGCTCCTTAATATGGAGTTAAAAAGGCCTTAATATGCCTCCCTTGTGTACCCGGGTCAGGGATTGACCCAACCTAAATCCCATTACCTTATATGCCGCCTATATGGGCAATTCGCAAAATTAGAATCCCACTTTGGTACCCCTGAATATTAGGTGCTGTAAATTAATCTACAGCCCAAAGGGGCCCATGATTTTGAGAACAACCAATATATTGTATAGTCCTTGTGACCTTGTGTACTCCCTATATAACCAGGCAGCCCCCCTATAACCTACAGGGGTCCCCTCCTAAAACCCCAGTGTTTTAATGTCCGAGGCTCAAGCCACTTATGCCTGACAATGTTTGAAGACGATTGTCGAGCACGCAGAGGAGCTCCACAGGGACAAGGCTGATCCGAAAGCTGCAGTTGATCACTTGTTTGGGGTTATGGGTTTTACAGGGGTTACATTGGGGTTATATTGGGATAATGGAAAGCAAAATGGAAACTACTATAGGGGTTCAGGGTAATGTCTGATATTCAAAACTCCCTACTTACGAGGCCCCGGGCATTTATAGACCAATTGGTACTTATGACCCAATTATGGTTCTATCAGGGGGCCGTGTCCGGGGGCTTATAATCTGGATATGAATGCGGTTGAAATGTACCGAGTTAGAAATAGCCCGAACCTCTACCACCCCTGCTCCCACGCTCTACCCTTAGCCCCGCGTGAGAAATCATTCGCCACTGACAACCCCTCAGCAACTCCCAAGCAGACCCATGTGTGCGACATCGCTTGACAACATGTTGCATGTGGTGGCAGACGCGTGCAGAGCCACGGTGTTTGGGGTTAGGGTCTAGAAATCAGGGTTTTGGGTGGCTTAGTACTGAAGGCGGGATTCCACACTTCACGGTACTCTCAGGTTCAAGGGTGCTTCATTCCTTTCGTTACATGCCGATGTGTAAAGTCGTATCGCAAACCATCCCGTTGGGCGATCGATTATTGACTACTCCTATCGTTGCTATGGCGCCTCCAACCCTAAACCCTATACTCTAAACCCTATACCCTAAACCCCAAAAAAACTGTTCCTGGGGCCAGCAAGGTTACCCTTTAGCACGGCCAAGGCTCTTCTGCATTTTATCTACATCTTAACTTATAAGCCCAGAGGCCGCCTACTAAGTACACACTACCCATACACAGGATACCCGAGCAAGAGTCAGAAGAACCACAGATATGAGTAATTACGAAGTCTCGTGAGCCTCCGAGGGTGCAAAACCCCAAGCCCTATACCTCCATAGTGTTAGGAGGTCCTATCCTTGAGGTGGCGAAGCTCTTGCAAAGGAGGAAGCTGATCCAACTGGTTCCCGCTGACGTCCAGTGCCACAAGACGGCTCAGCGCATCCCTCGGGATGTGCATGACCCTGACCGAGAAAAAAACCGTCATGGGCTATATAAGGTTCAAGACCATGGAGGATCAAATGGCAGGCACAGTGGACGGAAAATGAACAGGAAATAAAGATTAGATACGCGGTTTATAGGGACTGCAATGTACAACCCTGAGCACTTACCACCATTCGTGTCCTTTTCTGGTCTTGGGCTCACATAATTCTATAGCATAGGCTACCTCAAATATGATTCAAGGTGATCCTTGGCTTTGGGGTTCCTGAACCATTGTTTAGGAAGTTGAGGACTTTTGAAGGTTTAGGGGTTTAGGGTTTAAGGTTTAGGGGTTAAGAACTTCAGGATCCGAGTGTCCTACTTCCCATCAAGCCTGTTCACTGGGTCCTCGCTTGGCTGTCCTCCAAATGCTTATAAACGCCATGATCCATGAGTGGCCCTGGTCTAAGTCTTCTATACGGCGGTAGAGCCGGCAGTCACCTTCCTTTACTTACCTTCGGTTAGTTAGGAATGAAGGAATGGATCCTCATAGCAGTCCCTATGTACGCCCTTTATGGTACTTTTCATTTTCTTTTCCATTCCTTCATTCCCAGCTCACCGACTGTAAGTTTAGAGAAGCACAATCCCAGATCCCCTAAAGATCTAAAAAATGGACTCACCCCAAAAATCACCTAGTTTCGCAATACAGTAATTTTTCATATTGGGGGGTGGGGGGGGTGGGGGGTGGTGTCCATTTTTTGTCCTAAACCCTAAACCCAAAGGGGGTCTGGGTCTACAGCAGCAATCGAGAATGCAGGAGCCGTGCCCTAAAACTTGAACAATAAGGCCAGGCCCAACTCTTGGGCACACAGGGTTTAAGGCTTGGGGATTTAGGGTTTTAGGGTTTAGGGATTTAGGGTTTAAGGGTTTAGGAGTCAGGGTTGGGATTTAGGATTTAGGGTTTAGGGTTTGGGATTTAGGGGTGTGGGGTTTAGGATTTAGGGTTTAGGATCTAAGGTTTAGGGTTTAGGGGTTTAAAGTGCATGGCAGGGCTTTGTCCCCAAACCCCTTGAGCCATACTGTTGATGGAGGGAAACTTGCACCACCTAAAGCCCCTAAACTGCTGTAACTCCTAGGACTTTACGGACTTTAGGTGGTGCGAGATTTCCTCCATCAACAGTAGTGAAATAACACTTTTGGCCATCGTCCGTAGGATGACATCCAGAATGCTAAGCGCTGAGCCTTAAACCCTACACCTCTTCTGAAGCCCTTAGCCTTGAACCCTCTGGCATTAGAAGCATACCCATCTGTAGGTCATCATCTGGGGAATAGCATGAAGCTGGAATCAACACTGCCTACTTCAGAGTATGTTCACCCTCAGGAATAAGGGCTAAGGACTCTGGTGTGGGATGCAGGAAGGAGACATGGAATGTCCCTGGTTTGTCACTCAAGCTACTGAGGTACGACCGTGACCTTCAGCAAAAGTTTAAACCTTTGACCCATGTTAGGTTCCAATCAGGTTGCAGATGCAAACCTGATTCAAACTCAAGAAATCCCACCTAGCTCCTTGTGTGTAGGGTCTAGGGCCAGTACCTTAAAACCGTTACCTCAAGCCCCAAGCCGTCCGAAGGCGTGCAAGCCCAGTCTCAGGCTTGGTAAGTGCCGTAGCCGGTTATGAGAGATGTCGAGCAATTTCAGCATGGGGCTGTCCTCGGGAGCTTCGTCAACTGGTGTAAAAAATCGCGTCTCCGGATGCTGCCCTGTCATGAATCTACTCGTGCTTGGGCTAGCTAATATGAGCCATAGTCTTAACTCCCAGTATCCCCCTTAACGACCCCTATAATCGTCCCCTATATGACTTCCTTTAAGGAGTTCAGACTATGGCCTATATACGGACAGCGAGTAGGGCTGTAAGTATACAGGGAAAGTGATAACACGTACAATAGCGTTTGTAATGCTGAAATTGAAAGTGCGTTTAAATGAGAGTATTACTCTCAAAGGCACTAGTTTTTAAGAGTTATATACACGAAAGCGAAGAGGGTTCAGGGCTTGCCAGGAACAAGGGATAAACATGCCGGTGATGTCACATTCACTGCATACTGGCGTTACAGAGGGACTATATACAGGTGTACAAATTTGTATGCATACCCAAATTACAGAGCAACTACTACATTTCTCTTTCTATCTCCCTACATGGGGGGTACGTCCCCCGATTTTCAACTAGCCCCTAACACCAGACCCTTGGCTAGAAACTGAGTATGGGTCCAAGCTCGGAAGCTCTTCTATCTGATTGTGTGCAGCGTGAATGCGCTTGAGGCGTAAGCTTCGGCTGATGTCAGGCAGCTGGCTCCTGAGTAGAATTCTTAAAAGACTCTTCAACGCCATCATAACATAACAAAGTGAAGGGGGCCCTTAGAGACTCTAGGGACATATGGTAGCTTGAAAGGGATTGTGGGGCCGCGGAATTCGATTCTTAGGCAAGGCATGTTTGGGCCAAGGAGTTTAGGGTTCAGTGATCTTGGGGTTTAGATTTTGCGGTCTTGTTTTCAACGGTGTTTAGGGTTTTGGGTGTGGGTATCTTGCACAAATCTGTCGCAAGGCCCCAAGATGTTACATCAAAAGTGGGGCCAGGCTGGGCCCTTATTTGCCCACAGTACGTAGCTACAGCTTGCGGGAAGACCAAGCTCGACGTTTATGACTCAATTCATGACATTAGTAAGTTAAGATTAGGGTTCCGATTCATCAATACTTATAAGCAAGCTCAAAGTGTTTCTCGCGGCCGAGCAAGGGTCAGGTTGTTGTCGTCCACTGTCAGTTCGACAAGACCAGCCGGCATAAGACCAACATCGGATAGGAAGTTCGCTCTCACATCAACGAGTTCCAGCTTTTCACTGGCATTAATTCCCTGCAAGGGACTCAAGATATGTTTCCGCTACCACTTTGAAGGGCTCGTGTTTGACCTGTGAGGCCTCAACCTGAAGCCTTGAAAAATGGCCTTAAACTATGCTCTCACCCCGTATCATTTCCGTCTGAAATCATGCAGTGCAGAAGGGTTAAGCTTACTCAATTATTATTAACATGTTGGCTATTGTTCTCACGTAGTGGGCTACTGAATAAACCCAACCCTAAACACTGAAACCCTAAACTGAAATGAGTACAGTGCAAATGGGATCCAGAACTAAGTGCAAAAAACCTTGATTTGGGTGTTCACCCATGTGAGAGCCTCCCGCTGTGCACTACTAAACATGAACCTGGTTTGCGTTTGGTTCAGGGCTTAATCAGAACTTTCGGCGACCCCATCAACTCCCATCGAACCTCCAACTCTGTCAGGTTGTTGCCCGGAAGATGCAACTCAATGAGATGTTGCAAATGCTCTAGGCCACGAAGTTCGCTTATCCTTGTCTCGAGTCTACAAGGTCCAAAATCTGTGAGTACGGGCTTCGGATGTGGGGGCAGAAGTTGTAGGTATCTATGTATGAGGAAATGAGGTGGCCTGTGCTTTCTAATCGCAAGCCAAGAATTGGAAAAACCAGGCAGTAATGCACATAACAGTGGTAACAATACTAGTAGAAATAGCATTATTTGTAGCAGTAAAAAATGATAATAGCCATACTGGTACTAACAATAACAGTCCAATCCTAAAGAAGAGGACCCAAGGAGTTACAGGTGGGGAGTTGCCAGGTTACATAATCGGTCAAGGTGTAGGGTTTAGGGTCTAAAATTCAGGACTTTCATATATGTCTTATGCAAAGCTTGTGCGAGGAGCTAGGACAATGTAAAACTTATATTACGCGGGGAACTACCCACCTGAAATGTTCTTGCAAGGAGGTGCTGCGCATTATGGATCATGCTACCCTTCAAGAGGGATCCACAGGATCATAAATAAATGAATGCATCTGTATATATATATATATGCATGTGTGTGTCCCTAGTTTCCACATGTACAACCTGCACACCCTCCAGCCCACCATCGCCGTGATGCATAAACTGCAAACAAACAACATGCACGTATTCACCTTTGTTTCAGGATGCGCAAAAGATGCTGTCTCCGTCCTTCCTACCCTAGCAAGAAATAATAAACTTCCCGGAGGCGATGGGGGCGGGCAAATTGAAACTGGTAGCTACCTGGACACTTGCCTAACCTACCCAATTGGCCCTGACTCTGGGCAGAGGCAGGGCCACAAGCTCGGCTATGCAAATTGGGAATTTTGCTTCCAAGGCTGACTTGCTCCAGCGACCTCCTCGCAAAGCTTAGTAGGTGAGAGCAAGGTTCAAGTTCGCAACTGAAAGCAGGCAGCCGCAGCCGCAACAAATCTGCTAATCAAGCAACACAAAGGCTACACACTGCGCGAAGGTCGCTCGCTAGGTTTGTACAAGTGCAGCAAGCAAGGCGGTTGTATGACCTTTAAGGATAAGCAGCAGTGGAGCAGCGCCAGCGAGCGCCAGCGAGCGCCAGCGCAGCCGCCGGACAAACTAACCTCGAAGCTCAGCGATGTGTTCTTTGTAGAGCCCAGCAGCCGCAGCAGAAACGTAGATGGCCCTGGTGGACCACTCGCGGGCAGCCTCAGCACAAAGATGCCATGCCTGTCTCGCAGATCTGGCGTAGCGTCTTTCGCGGGCCTGATTGGCCGACTTGTCAGCACGGTGGTTTAGGACACGGCAAAGCTGAGTGCAAAGACCATGAGGTGCAACCCAACCTGGACGTCGACCATGCGCAGGCACCCAAGTGGCTGTGACAACAAGGCCCCGACGAGCAGCGTAATCGAGGCTTCGGCGTGCCTCACCCATCAAAGAAGGCAATGAGGAGCCAGCTGGATGTACAAGAGCATCAAGGGCAGCCTGACAGTCAACCAACAAGGCAACATGACCTTGAACTCCTTCACGAGCAAGCACGTCAGCAGCTTTTGCCACGAAGGAAACTGCGTAGCACTCGGCCCTGAAACTGGACTGATCCTCTGAATCATCCCCTGTGGAGAACACACGATCATGGTCCCGATGGCGGACAATAACAGCAAATCCCGCAACGTCCAGCTTGCAAGAGCCGTCAGTGGACACGTAGGCCTCGGCAAACTTGTTGGGGTCGGTGACAGAGTCCCGAATCGCATCACGGAGAGCCTCAGTGACGTCCTCCTGGTAGTCGGCGAGAGCAACAGCGACTGGCGGCGGCGGAAAGTCTCCAACATCGGCAGCAAGCGAACGCTCTTCACCACGATGCTGCGAGGGACGCAGTCCCTGGCGCAGATGCCTGGTCTCGCTGCATGCCCAAGTGAGGTGGACCCGAGATGGCTTGCTGAGGCCACAAAGGCAACGGGCACGAGGGTCACCATCACTCAAATTGATTTTGTCGGACTGTTGTACCAGTAGCTACCACCAGTGACAGCAGCTGCGCGACGGACTGGGCCCAGGACACTGCTACCGTGCACCGAGCGGTGCGGCTGAAAGTCAAGGCAAGCTTGCTTAGGCGGAGCCGGGAGGTCGAGAGCACGAGCAAGATGATCACCATCACGATGGAGAGAGCGCAATTCGGCCAGCCGCATTAACAGCAATGGTGCGACTGGCTTCACGCAACCAGACGTCGTGCGCTGCAAGCTGTCAAAACCAACCGTAAACAACTCCAGTCAGTGTCCATGAAGGTCCTGGCGGCGAAGGGATGCTTCTCCATCACAGACCTGCCAGCCAAGGCGCTGATACTCTTGGCTCCTAAAAGCAAGTTTGGCCACGAGCTGGCCTCTGGAAGGCGCGAGGCCCTAACCTGGACCCGCCATGGTCAGAACAGAAACTTGGGCCGGCACCTCGATCAAGCAACTCAGCCCTCACAACGCTGGCGATGTCCTCAGTGAAGTGGCCAAGGAAAAGAAGCATTGATGTCTTGACGTGCCGCAGCTGTTCCTTAGAAGGCAGTGAAACACCAGCGCTCCAAAAAGCCATTGAGAAGATGAACACCCTGATGAGGTAAAACTTGTCGCGGGCCCCTGGGTCAAGCACACGTAGAGCTCGAAGCCTGTGAAAAGCCTTCCGAAGGTCAAGACGCAACAGTGAGCTGGCACCAGTTTGCAAGTCGAGCTTCACACCCAAGAAGTTCAATTCATGCACGCTCTGGAGAAAACTTCCTAGCAACAGTCCCCAACTGCTCAGCACCAGGCCTTGCGACCCATCTGCACTTGTCAGGGCGGCACGTGAAGTCACAAGCAAGATCAAACATTGCACTTCGCCTCAAAGCCTCCTCACAGTCTGCAGGAGTAGCCCCGGGCTGTGGTCACGACGCGCCTTGCCACTGCGGTTGCGCCACAAGCGCATGCTTGAAAAGGCAACGTGGATTGCCGTAGCAAGCCTGAATCAAGCCAAGCAGTTGAGTTGGAGCATGAAGATGCTGCAGAATCGGCACCAACATCTCGACCGAAACGTTATCGAAGAAAGCTGAGAGGTGTTGAAAAATGAGCTCCTGTACACCTTCCTTGACGGCATGAAGAACCTTTAAGTGAGCATCCAAAACAATGCGACCAGGTGCTCCACCAAACGTGCGGTTGCCAGAAAAGCTAGATAGCCACCTTCGCAACTGCGTTGCGGCCACACGTGCTCCGCATTTCCACATAGTTGTTGTAAAACACATGGGGCGCGACTCCCCTTGCAAATTGGGAATTGTACACCTTAAACATGAGACGCTTCAAGTGCTACGCTTCGCCGCGCACAAGCCCGCCAAC